CATTCTCTTGTTAACTAGTTTCTCAAAGATTTTTGAGAAAATACTTAAAAGAGCGATAGGACAATAGTTAGTCACATCTGATGTTTCTTTACTTTTGTGAATGGGAATAATAATGGCCGTCTTCAAGAGTGATGGAAATTTGCCGGTTGTGATAGACTGATTGAACAGGTGAGCTAGATGCTTAGAGATCTTAGTGTCTTTCTGGCAGTACAAAACATCAGGTTAATTTCAATATTGTAACTTTTTCAGTGCTTGTGAAAAAAATTGTTATACAAATTTTAGGTACCCCCTTTGAGGGGCTGTATCTTAACAAGGGATGCTCAAATGAAGTTTCTTTATATGAAAGATCCTATCTTTTTTTCGATGAGGAATCACCTCCTTAAATGTTTTACACTTATTCAGTTACACCCTGTAGAGACATATTATACACCTTCATGCTTTGTCAGTAAGAATTTTATATCTTCAGGAACCAAATAATATTTCCAATTTGAATAGAAAAAATAAATAAAAGTCTTTTGAACGGCAAACCGCCTAACTAGACATGAACTCAGCGAAATAAAAAAATCCCTACCTCGTAACATTCACAATAATTCTTCAAGCAACCCGATCTTTTGCAGTTGCACCCCTTTGTATGTTTCCTGACTGGCTGATCTCCGGACACATCTTTCGCCTTGCCGATCTTTGGTCTGAAAGCATGCGGATTCCGCTCCAAGCAAGCTTTGATCGCCCTGCTACGATGCTCCTCGTTCTCCAAGTTGTTGAAACAGTTCAAGCACTTGCACATGTAACAAAACTCCCCGTTGGCGAAACAGTCGCAATACAACTTGAGGCACTGGGATTTGTTGCAGTTGCAAGGCTTTCGTGGTCTCATGCCATCAGAATCGACTTCGTCTTTAGGAGCAACCGGAGAAGAACTGTCGCTGCCAGTGGAGGTAGTTTTCCCTGTAGGCGTGCTCTTTGCGGAGTTGGAAGGAACCGCTGCTTTGTTGGTCTGCGGAAGAGGCGAAATGTTCGAAGGGACGACCACCACAGGAGTATTTGATAGAGGTGAAGGAGATATCGCTACTTTTCCTGTCATCGGCTTGGGAGCTATTTTATTGACAGTTGTGGTCTGTGAAAGACATATTTTTTTTTATAAAAATGAAGCTCAACATATGAAAAAACAAAACTCTACCTTCACATCAGAGAAGACAATGTTTCCAATAGATGTCGCAGTTGAGGTTCTTAAAACTGTATTTCCTGTTGAAGTAGGTAATACGTTTGAATCTGTAGGGTTGGTTGTGACAAATTTAATGTACTGCATCTATAAAAAAAAATTATATTATGTGATAAGCACCTGAAAATCCTTCGACACTGTCATTATCAAATGAATTTATAGCTTAGTTTATCTCAAAGGCTCACAATTCCAACATGATTTAAAAAAAAAAAGGTCTACTACTCACAGTAGCAGAAAACTCAAATAAACCAAAATGACTGTGACATTCATTTTCAAAGCCTTGAAAACTTTAGAAACTATCAAATTTGTAGCTTCTACTATCATATATTATGTTATTTTTTACATATACTCATTTGATATTGTGGTGTGCTTCACGCTCAGTAATTCGTTTACGACCTATAGAGTTTGTACAGTAAATAAAAATAGTTGTTTGTTATTCTCCTATAATGAATACAATTATGTTTTAGATTTTGACAGGAAATCTTTTGAAATTGGGTGATGAAACATTATTTTTAGGATTTTGGTGAAAATTGTATGTTAACATTAGCAATCCTGTACTTAAGCTAACATATATATGTTTTACTAGTTGCATACATTTGGTTCCTAGTAAAATGCTTCACTTTGCTCTCAACAGATGGCAGCACAATATGTTATTATTGAAATGTTTAAATGCAATAAATGCAAGTAGCATTAGTAGAGGACATTGCTGGTAATGACTGTTAATATCAGTTATTTTTGACAATTTGATGGAGCACTTAAATTATGAAATGAACTGAACTTCCACAAATAAATATTTCTATTTTACTAGATATAGCAATCACTGTTGGTACGCCTCTGGTAGGTTGTTACCTATCCACTTGACTTGTCAGATGTGGCTAATTGCAGGCACTTTATGGTTTACTTTCAATACACTGAATCCATTTCAGAAATTATTCAATTTTTACTAACTTCGGACTTCGAAGTGATTTTTAACTTCACAAGTTATTCTCGGTGCTTTTAATGTGAAATTTGAAATTTTTCTTCGGTAAAAAACCACTAAATCTTTAGTTTCTATCAGGACTCCGGCGATGCACGTATGCACTTACTCACAGATGTTGAATTTTTATTGAATTTGTCCTATACTTGGCGTTTTTATTAAATAATAGCATTAAAAGTTTTGTGAACTTACCCCCCTTCCAGGTATATTTATCTGATGCAACTGTCCAGTATTGAGAGTTTGAGATCCGGCGACTTGTATGATTTGGCCCTGTGGTAGAATATTTGTATTCGAACTTGTTGCGGTTTTGAAAAGAATCTTCTGAGGACCCTTGTTAGCTGTGAGACTACTTGCCGGTAATATTTTCGTAGGTCCTTTGACAGCTCCGAGGGAAATGGTTTTGGTATTCGAACCAACAGTCACTAGTTGTGCTGTGCTAACTTGCGGCACAATTTTCAGGGTTTTTTGAGGATTCTTACTGAGCAAGACTGTTTGCTTAGGCACCGTTTGCCCCTGCTGGATTATTTTCGTATTGGGCAGTAGACCCATTTCTTGGGCCAGTTGCAAAGTAAGGGTTTTTGTAGGGGACGACATCGCAATGTTACTCCCTTGCGCCTGGACGATTTTAACAGGTTGGTCTGACTTTTGCACAACCATATAATGCTGTGGTTGCTTAGAAAAGGTTGTCAATGGTTTCGTAATGGTTTTTTGTCCAGGGGCAATAATTTTTTTCATCACCACAGGCTTCTGTGGTACAAATGATATGTTTCCTCCCTGAGTGGATATTGTTTTGAGAGTTGGTTTGAAAGTAATAGGTCGACTTATGTTCGCCAAGTTCAGTTCCTGACCTTGGGAGGATACCAGTTTAATGGTTTGACCAGGTGTTGTCCCTAAAATAGACAGAAAAGCATTATGAATACTGTAAAATGACATTTTAAAACAATTAACTTTTCCCAAAAATGTATAAAAAAATACAATACCTATAGAAAAAATAAACAGAATATAAAAGTTGTAATAAACAAAAGTAATTTTTTGTGGACGAAATGAGAGATTTATTATGGATCTTTCTGGGATTTCCCTTTCCACTATCTGAAAAAAATAAAAACTGTATGTTATAATAAAAATGGCAAAAAATACCTGTATAAAAATTACCTCTTTAACTCTGTTGCTGTTGAAGTTTACAGCATATTCAGGCAATATCTCTCTCTTTTAGACTTAAATTGCAAAAAAATTGTGTCAAGAACCACATGAGTCAAGATTTTCTTTCTTACAGAGATTTAGAATAAATTTAAGAACAAGAGGAGATTTTGAAATCATCATTAGAATAGGTACAATGTTGGTACAGCAGACTAGTGAAATGGATGTCAGTCAGATTATGTGAAAACATTTATGAAATGTCAAAAAACCTTAGGAATAGAGTTCTATATTGAAATGTAAATTTCATGAAATCGCTAATGAGAACTATTAATACATACATGTAAATAAATCATAAAAAAATAATTATTTCTCTTTGATCAATGAAAGCAAATTTTACAAATGATAGTATATCTTCTGCTTTTTCGAACCACTAAACAGAATATCATAGTCCTTTTTTTCAGTTTGCGTTTGCCTCTAATTTCTAGGAGAGCGTTGGAATTCTCTTCTACTTTTTTACTGCAGCATTCAATGTGGTCTGTCCGATCTGTATACATTTAAGAACTTTAACTAGAAACGCTGTTTGATTCTATGAAATGCCTCATCAATCAGTGTTAATATATTCCCTAATTACTACTTTTGCTTTCAGTAGTGTTCTTTTATTAGAATGTTTTTCTTCATTTTACTCGTTTTCAGGTTAAAATTTTCTTTTTCCTCAATTTTCTTTACTTTCTTCTATCACAATTTTCTTTGTTTTCTATGGAAATTTGCAGCTTCCAAAATCATCAACTAACAAACAATTTTTATTTCAATAAAATTATCCCCCATTGATCAATTAAAGCAAATTTTACGAATAGTGAGTGTAGTAGTATATCCAATTCAAGTATCTTGTTTTCGTTAAGCTTTGATTGAAATAAATATAGAGTATAGGAGAAAAATATAAGTAGTCTTCTTTACATAAACCGAGAATGTTGTTGGATTTGGATTCACTATATCAATTGGCAAGTTGTTCCTTCATTCATCTCACCATTATAAATGAAAAAAAAAACAACAGTTCAAAATTCAGTGAAGTTCAGTTCATTCATAATTATCACACAAAAATATTTCAGAAATTACATTCAAGCAGACCAAAAAAGGGAAATTTGGAAACGTAGCATCTTGCATAATAGTGTAATAATTTATAATAATCTGCCAGACAAGTTTAAAAACGTGAAATTTATTTTAAAATTTAAAGTACTTTTGGAAAAATATTTATTACATGAATAATATTTTCACATTTGACAGTTTATCGTTGAACATATTTATATATTTTTATACATTTTTGAGTTTGAATTTTCCTATTATGGACAGCCAATTTTTCTTGGAAAAGTTGAAAAAACAAAGTTGAAAAATAAACTTGTTTCTTTGATGGGTGATTTTATCATCTTTTTCCTTCTGGTGATATTTATTCAATTCACCAGACTCTCCATTTCCAATGTCAATATAAAGTAAAAAATTCAATGGAAGACATTATCTCAAAAAATTTTGTTCAAGAGTTCATCAGATAATTTGAAATGAAAATGCCTAATTCAATTTAAAAGTTGTACCATAATTAACCTTGACAATGAATGAATAACCACAGCCTATGCGGTAAAAAACCAGATAGTTCTTTTCATTGGAAAAATGCAAGTTTCACAACTCAAGAGATTCTCTTACATTCTCCTGCATGGAAGAATGTGTGAAAATCAATAATGATTCCATGCTATCTTTTCTGAGCCACTTAATGGTTTCCCTTGTCAAGGGCTGGGAGTAGAATAATAACAATTTGAAAAGATTGGTAAGTAAATTTATGATGTTTCTACTACTTTATTCCAAATACAAAGATGTGATGCAGTTTTAATCAAGTTTTGACAAAGTTAAACAACTTGGTTTCTAAAACATCATTTTGTTCCCTCTTAGAAACATAACTCTGTTGTAGTCGCTGATTAATTTAAGATTTTTTTTTATTCAGATAGATCATATGAGAACACCAACTTTTCAAAGTAGAGTCATAATCTGTCCCTTCAACGTTGGTAGTTTATTGAAGTTTACAAAAAAAAAAGACTGAAAACCAACTCCTCTGTACTGAAACATGGATTTTAAGTGTCCGAGACTCATTTAGTGATCCCATATACCTATATGTATTTCAAAGTTACATAAAATGTTTCTCCAGTGTATTTATAAAAGATATAAATTGGGAATAATGATATCATCCTTTTTGTAACATGTTCATTTCCTAAATTCTCCATTGAAAATAATTTATATTTTGTTAAAAGAATTATAGTTGACAAATGGTCAAAATATATAGTTTTGAAAACATTTTTGAAAGATTATTAGATCTCAATAAATTCCACGATGTCTTGAAACTTCAAAAAAAAATTATCATTACTTTTCCAACTATTCAGTGATGATATACATGTCACTTAGATTTTACCTTGCAGTAACAACAGCTGTTGGCCTCCTACTGATTTGACGGCAATGGGAACTTTTGTGGGTTTTGGAGCAATTGTTAAAGGTCTCAGAGGAGGAACGGAAGAGGTTTTCACAGTCTGATTTTGGAGCATTTGCTCAGAATATTTAATACTTTGCTGAGAATAGCCATCCGATTCGTCTTCAAAAACTTCTTCGGCTTCAACTTCTTCTTCATGTTCCATAACATCTTGGCTCTCCACAACAACTTCTTGTTCTAAATATAACAAATCAGGATTATTACTGTTTGATTATTATGTTTTCAGTGAATTTGAAAATATCTCATTTACCTCCAGTATCCATTCCATCAGTTGAGAAGGTTATTTCCTGTGGTAAGTCTGTGAGTGAGTTAAAATCTGCATTAGTCAATTCAGGAGTATTCTCCATATCAAATGAGGCATCTTCAATTGTTAATGTATCTACCAAAGTCGCTGTATTTTCTGCCGACCCTAAAAGTTATGAAATACTTATTTCAACCACCAAAATGTAAAATTAAATTTGAATGAAGTATCTTTAACCCGTGAAAGTATGTAATAAACAGGAAAAAGTTATTACAATGAATAATAATTTATAAAAAATGAATTGGAATGGAAGCCCACAATGAAGATATTCAAAATCTGCCTTGCAATATAAAAGCAAAGCAGACGCCTATTTAAAAATGACTACAATCAGTTTGTGGAAATATTTTATTTTTAATTCTACAGATGAACCAAAATCTTTATACTTTGCTTAGACATACCTTTTTGTAAAAAGGACATAATTATTAGGGAAAAATATACTACTTTTCCTGTAATAATGAACTATTTCAAAACACCTAGTCAAATTTGACAGATCACGTGACCTAACAAGCGCTCCATGACTACCAACAATAAACTGAAAATTCCTGTTAACGGTATCCGCAATTTTGAAATTCTTCTATATCTTCTTTCCATAGCTTTTCCCCGAAAGAGAAAAGTTAAAGAAAGTACATTTCATTTAACGAATAGGTGATAAAAATATTTCAACAATTTATTTGAACAATTGAATGAACAAGAATGACATCTTGTCAGCAGTTTGGAAATGGAGGTGTCAAATTATAAAGTAATTTGTGAAACGTAAAACATGGAAAATCCATGTAAACAACATATAGAAGAAAAACACTACACCTATCCCCGAATTGCCGAAACCAATATTAAAAACGAAAATGGGAGGGCCGAAGTTAGACAGGTAGACTGCGGCAAGAAAAAAAATGGGTTCGGATTTTTACGGAAGTCTGCCGAGGACGATGAGCCTCCAAAGCCACCGTTGTTGGTAAGTGTTGTGAAAAATATCAGTTTGATGGATAAGAAATATTTGATGCGTCATATGTATATTATCAATAACAATTTTATTTGTATTTAACAGTTTCGGAATCCTTCATCACAATGAATATATTTTTTCTAATGAAAACACTTCTCCTTCACCAGAACAAAAATACTGTCCCTCGACGTGTGTTTCGTTATTCGAGGTAGCATCATCAGGAGATGACTAAAACTGAGCTGAATATTTTCTCGTCGAGTACTAACATATACGAAAATGGTTTTTTATCGATCTAATACTGAATCGGAAATATGTATCACTTGAAATATAGAGAATATAATCACTCATAACGCTTTGAGTATAGAGAACATTTTGGCGATTTTCAACGAAGTCGAGTTATCAGCGTTGTGATTCTTGGGATCTATGAAAAAAATACCTGTAACTCGCAGAATTTAACAAAGATGTAAGAAATTGAAATACCTATATCGTTTGTCCCTCACAAAAGTGACAGATACGGCGGAAAAAGTTATTCTCCTACTAATTATAGTAGGTGTTTTTATTACACAAATTCATATGAAAAAATTATTCTACTAACTACTTGAGTTAGAGTAAAGGTGTATATATGTTTAAATAAAGTGGAAATAAATCAGAATAAAAATAAATATTTGGTCTGAGACAACTATGACAAACAATAATACAAACCTCTATATTATCTAAAACATAAAAAACATCAAACTAAAATCAAAAAGTTCATCAGATTCTCAACTCAACATCGTCCTAAATGTATAGTTGTGAGTTGATGTTGAGAGTGCACAGCCACTTTGAGTGCTATGTTCGATTATTAACTTGTGTATATAAACCAAGTTAGTTTATTATTTTTTATTTTTCTTTTAATGAGCATTATTTATATAAATGTTTACTATATTATTATATACTCAGTCTAAAGGTTAAATAGCATTTATCGCATTCAGAATAGACTAAATTGAGTTTCAACTACAAGAAAGGATATCATTTTTTACAAATGATAACGTATTGTAATGTGCTAATGTATGTTGCTCCGAGTATATAAAGCGCAAAATATAAATGCGAGACATGTGCTGTTTACAGACGCTAGTCATATTTTGTAACACTCCATTGATTAGTGACTTTTTATTCTTGAGGAAGGTGGGAAGTGCTTCACCTTGTTATAATGCAAAGGAGAGCACTTCGACCGTTGTCGCATTGCCTTCGATAATGTTTGCTGCAGTAGCAGACGAAACGTCAGGTATCGTAACCTACAGATCAAGACTTATAAACCTGGAAACATCGGACAATTTGTAAGATCCCGGCCGTGAAAGCCTACATAACAACTACCCTGTTATCAACAGGGCCAACAGGTAAAGGGGATTCTGTGCCGTCATAATGACAGGGGTACCTGAAGTAAGTAGGTGAAGGGAATGTTGCTATGCTACAATAAAATCAATTTGAACCTGCTATTTCGAAACAGCTACAACTGTTTCGGAAAATTACAGTTCTGCCCATTTCTGTAAAATAATGCTCAAAGCAATAAATAAAATTGAATGTTTACTACTATGAAAGTGGTAGTTTTTGTGGTGGTAGTATTGCCTCCGTCTTCACACTCATGGCAGGTACAAACAATATCTGTTGAGAACAGATATATTTTTCAAAATAGGGGGGGTGACTACATTTAAATTATGTATAGGAGTACCTAATTTTNACAGATATATTTTTCAAAATAGGGGGGGGTGACTACATTTAAATTATGTATAGGAGTACCTAATTTTCATATTGAAAAATCATCAGTCATCAAATAAATCTATTGAAAATAATTCTACCACCAGTGAAAGTTAAATGGACATATGGAAAACTTCAAATCATGTTTAATGAAGACAAGAAAACTTACACATTTCAACTATGGAAGTCTCACAAAATTTCTGTATGCACTTACACCAGCGTTATTGGCCACCTTTAAACTTTTTACGTTGATAGACACGCTATGTCGAAACCACAGGGCGTAACTTGTGAAAGAATCTTAGAAATGATGTGTCTTCAGGTAAAATATTTTGTCAATTGCCTAATGAATTGATAATTATCCTGGACAAGGGAAGGGAGAATGTTTGCTGTTTATGAGAAGAAGAATCAATTTTATTCTCTCGGAGAGCAATAAACTTGTACAATTTGTATAGTATTTACGAAATCAATTCGAATGGCATAAAAACTAAATAGTTAACGAACGTCGATATGACTGGCATACTCTGAGTGAAAGGTAAGACATTCTTAGGAAGTCCAATCATCATTTTTATGTGGGAGGTTTTGTATGGTATTAACTAGTAAATTCCAGTTTTCGTCTTTGACATGGTGGTCGACGGACGAGCCGATAACGAAAGCCATAAAAAATGTTCCAAGGAGGGGAAAGGAGAGTATTGGTATAGTTTATATTTGTCTCGAATATCTCAGTGAAAAATTTCTTTAATACATTTACAATTTAATCCCAATTCAACCCTGAATTTAAATAACTTTTTCCACTCGTGATTGTTTTATGAAAATTCAGAAACCTGACTAATGTCCAACCACTTTTCTCAAACACCAGAACTGTAATACTATTTTCGATGCGCCTTTCACCAACCAAGTTGACATCTTCAGAAAACGAAGAAAACTGAAGACGCCAACTTGGTTGGTGAAATGCGCGTTGACAAGAATATTGCAGTGCTGGTGTTTGGGGAAAGTGCTTGTTATGGATTCATTCTACGCGCCAGGGGCTCCAGTTAAACCTTTAATTATTGACTACAATTATATAATGAACTGTGAATCATGACAGACAATTACTCAGAACATCTAGCTTCTTATCAACAATAACAATGAAAACCGTCCTTGGAACGTACCAAAGAAAGACAGTACCGGATACTACCAAATACTGCCTGGAGTAGGTTTTTCGGCAGAGTTTCGTGGTGGCCGTGGTAGTGGACGGACGTGCTGATAACGTCCTCCAACAAAAAAGGTACGCGGATGCCATGTGCTATCGTGAGGCTCCTTTTTGTGATGTGTTAGTCCATTGTGTGAGTGTTTTTCAAGGGCCCTCTTTATTCACGCCGGTATCAAGGCCGGGTGGTTCGGATAACCACGTAAAGGGGGCTGTATATGTGGAAAAAAACCAAAAGGTCTCCCAAGCAGAAGGCGTCTTCATAAAAATCAAATTGTTTTATGATAAAAAAGTTCGAAAAAAAATGGGTGGCAGCATTGCTCCGTGCAAGAGCGCTGCGCCCCCCGACGAAGCTCCTGTCAACCAACAGGAGGAGCATTGGTCATATGCGCCTGAAGATGGAAGCAACGACAATCCAAAATAGAGAGAGAGAGAGAGAGAGGTTTTTCAGCAGATCGGCAATTCAAAGCAGTTTTCACATCTTTGTTATGCAATCAAAATATTTTAAAACTGAAACTTATGCGTGTTTCTCATACATGTCGACGAGGGGATGTAAAAAATAATAAAAATTTGTAGAAGAGATTATTTAAGAATAAAAACCTGTTATACACAACTAATCAGTATTCAAAAGAGGGCTCCTTAATAGTAGTCTGAAATATACGAGCGTCTCGAGATAGTTGGAACTTGGTTCCCGTGGTTTGGAAGGGGGATTTAACCTCACTTTTTTTAATGCAATTAGTAAATTCGGTCTTTAAACTCAGAATTCAGACATTGTCTTCATTACTGCTCTACCTAACCTCCTAATCTATTTTGATCATATTCACAATTTACATTATTACGAGTTTGAGTTGTAAGTTGAAAAATATAAATTCGAGTTTAAAGTCGACTCTTCAGAGCGTTCGTGCAACCATGAACAGAAAACAGAAAGTTAAGTTTAAATAAGTTATAACAACATCTGTCTAGATTTTCTCTCTTCAAAACTGAGAAGGCAGGTTCCTCGAGACGCTCTATAAGCACGTTCAAGTTTCACACATTCTCTGAAATGAATTAATGAGTTTTCTTCGCGTAGTCCGATTCTGATATTCTGTGAAATCATACAATACACGATCGTACATCGGACTACTACGATTCGTCGTCGGTCACGTCACTTGATCTTGATTCGTAAAATAGACGGCCTAGATCTGGTTTTGTTGCCGGTGTGGTTTGTTAAAACTCCGGAAAATTTGCGTTCTTTTTTACCAGGTCTAGTTAGTCTGTTAAAAACGAGTCGTAGTACTTCGTGCAATAGTATATTCTCGTAAACCCCCTTTCATCAAGTAGGTAAGTTCATTGATTAAATATTTTGTCATTTGTTTCACACACTTGATTGGTTTATATGGCTTTTGTGAAATGAAATTAATGTTTCTTTTTATTATTATGAAAATAAAGTGATTTTCAACATAAACTTCATCTATAAATTCAATACATTTTTACTGGACAGGTATAGGGTTTTACGATGTAGTCGGTGCTTTTTTGATGTTATGTAAGATTTTGTCAATGATCCATTGATTTTCTAATATAAAACTGAATTGGAAATCGGGGTGTACAAATAATATATAGTTTTTTGAGAATTTGCATTCCAGTTCAAGTTGTGATTGATTCAATCATTTAATTTTAATTAATCTTACTTTCACCAGATATTAGAAAATTCAGCCATGTTGCCGACTTGTGACCTGGCGTGACCTGTACATTCTGGAGAGAATAGACTGATAATGGAATGGGATTTTCAAATAATTAAAAAAAAACTATAAAGCGAAGATTCAAACTCAATATTTTGACCATGAAGCTTTTTAAAAAAGTCGTATTTCAACTTTTCTCAAGGCACCCCTCCCTACTTTGATTGTTCAAAATCGGTATCACATACTTCTATTATTAAATCTATGTACAGGGTGTTTCCAAAGTAAGTTAGAATATATCTGATATGGTGATTATGAAGTACATTCTAAAATAGAATTTCTAAGAATATATTAATGATTAATATATTTGCAGAAAGCGTCTGTCTAAGAAATGTAGCTCAGTTCACATGTTTTTCAGTATATTATTAGATACTTTT